CTTGCTGCAAATCCAACTCTGAGAAATCAACCAAGTAAAGAAAACTTGGGGCCTTTATTCTTGGCATAGCAAGCAGGAGCATGCAGGATGCTCAGAGCTCATGGGAATTGCCTCTTCTAAACATCTTTATTTTTCATTTATGTCCTACTGTGTTTTAAATATTCATTTACATTTCTTTCTTTTTAAGCATATTTGAGCTCCTTGAGGACAGGGCAGTTTGGTTTATATATATATTTTTTTATCTCTGACAACTACCTAGCACATGTTTATACTTAATAGGGACTCACCGAATAAACAATGGGTGTACTGAGTAAAATCTACCATGGTTAGTGACTTTCCTTTCAGTATTTTTCTTTGTGGGAGAGTACATATTGGTGCGCACACTTATTCTCAAGGCTTTCTTAATTGGCCTACTCTCATGGCCCAGGCTCTGGGGCATACATGTGGATATAGGATAAATAGTTGTGACTCAAATGGAACATATATGTGGCTTTAACTTCTTAAAAGGAAATGCGATCTTTATTGATGACAATAAAGTCCAAAAAGCCTAAAGACTCTTTAAATGAAGAAAACAACTAGACTATACTCCCTGACCCCGAATGAGATTCTTCCTCTTGCTTTGGGTCTTCCTGCAGATTACTAATGCCATCATTATATTTGCCTCTGGTTGTAAAGTTGCACTACTTTGCATTTAACTATCTACGGCATACTATGCAAATGTGTCTTTATGTCCAGCAGCTGGGAAAGACCGGACATTCATGCTGTTACTAAATGCCAAGGCATATCAAAAGGGAAAAGAAACAGAGAGGAACACAGACCTTGATCGGCTTATATAAGTTGTAACTTTCTCTCTGTCTTGCAAGCCCCATTTTATTTCATGGGACCTTAAGCAGGGAGCATGGCCATGGAGTTCCTCTTCTTTTTTTTAAGATTTTATTTATTTATTTATTTATTTATTTATTTATTTATTTATTTATTTAAGAGAGAGAAAGAGGGAGAGAGAGAGAGCATTCAAGTGGGGGGGAGGGGCAGAGGGAGAGAGTCTTAAGCAGACTTCCTGCTGAGCACAGAGCCTGACACCTGACACGGGACTCCATTTCACAACCCTGAGATCATGACCTGGGCAGAAATCAAGAGTCAGACACTTAACTGACTGAGCCACCCAGGTGCCCCGTGGAGTTCCTCTCTTTAATCCACTGAGCCTTACTCCTAATCCGTACCATACAGCCTTCTATACCAGGAGTCTCAGATATGTTAGACAAGCATTTTGTCACAAGGTCTGCATTCTCATACTTTTTAAGCCAAGTCTTTGTCATGCTGCAATCTCCTAGACTCTTCCACATCCTTACTCCACTTTTAAGGGTGATTACATTGTACCTAACTTGTCTCAGTCAGAGCGGGCTGCTATAACAAGACACCACAGGCTGCGTGGCTTAAACAATAGACATTTATTTTCTCACAGTTCTGGAGGCTGGAAGCCAAGATCAAGATGCCAGCATGGTTGAGTTCCCCTGAGAGCTCTCTTGCTGGCTTGCAGATGGCTGTCTTCTCACTTTGTGCTCACATAGCCTTCCCTCTATGTGTGCTCAGAGAGAAAGAGAGAAATTTCTTTTCTCCCTCTTGTTATAAGGACACTAATCCCATCATTAGGGCCTTGCTCTCATAGCCTAATCCAAACCCAATTGCCTCCTAAAGGCTCCACCCCCAAATACCATCACATTAGGGGTTAAGGCTTCAACATATGAATTTTGGAAGGACACAAGCATTCCATCCATAACACTACTGGATAATTCAGGATAATCTCCCATTTTAAAGTCAGCTGATGGGGCGCCTGGGTGGCTCAGTCATTAAGCGTCTGCCTTCGGCTCAGGTCATGATCCCAGGGTCCTGGGATGGAGCCCCGCTCCGTGGGAAGCCTGCTTCTCCCTCTACCAGTCCCTCTGCTTGTGTTCCCTCTCTCGCTATGTCTCTCTCTGTCAAATAAATAAAATCTTTAAAAAAATAAATAAATAAAGCCAGCTGATTAGCAAACTTAATTCCATTTACGACCTTAATTCCCCTTTGACATGTAACCTGACATTCACAGGTTCCAGGGATTGGGATGTAGACATATTTGAGGGATGATTATTCTGCCTACAGCCATGACTCCTAAAACAAAACAAAACAAAACAAAAAAATTTTTAAAAAACCTAGTAAATAGCTGGCAAGAGCTAGAAAATACTAGGGAGGTATGAATCTCCATTACTTCTGATGTTTCCTTCCCAGAAGGAACTCACTAGTTGTAATTACTGGCTTCTCTCTGCTCAGAAGACATAAGGTGATTTATCTGAGTGGTGAATTTGGGAAGAATAAACTGGTCATGTTTGGCTCAGAGCCTCCCTTCTTCCTTTTGGGGGTGAGGTGCTTATAGGAGCATCCTATAAGCATCCATTTCACTGCTCCTCTACAGACTGTGCCCTTGCTGGGGGCAGGTGCTGGGTGGAGGGTTGGGGGTGAGATGTACCCTAAGCCTGGGCTTCCCTTCACAGGGTGGGGAGGGGTGAGTGGGGAAGCCTGCTAATTCTGTGGTTCAATATCAGTAAGCCCATTTTGCTAAAAGATCTAAAACCAAATGCTCCAGTTTGGCTTCTATCAGTAATAAAGGTGATATTTTGGCCCCATCTCCCATGTCTTCTGTTTATTCCTTAAACTGGTCAGAATCTAGTTGAGAAAGAGGAATCCTTTTATTAACACTTTGTCATAGACCTCAAGAAGAAGCACTTAAGTCATGATGCTGTTTATTTCCCCAGGATGTCTCATTTCTCCACAAGTAACTGTTTTTTGAGAACAGAGCTTACATGGGAAACAGTGGAGTAGTATAGTGATGGAGTGTAGGTGTTGTATTAAGACTGCCTCACTTCAAATGCTGGCCCCACCACTTAAATGTTGTATGATGCTTGGCAAGGTACTCAACCTCTTGTGTCTCCATTTTCCACCTGGAAAACAACAATACTGGTTCCTACTTCTTAGAGGTTTCTTTGAGTAGTGAGATGAAAGAAGTAAAGCAACATAGAACAGTGCCTAGTGCATTGTATACATTTGATGCATGCTACTTATGATTATATCTTATACATATCTGGATCCCCTATTTTTTTTAGCATAGGAAAACTCAAAAATTTTTTTAAATAAAATAGGGTTCTCTGCAGCAAGGACTATGTCTTCTTCAGCTTTGTATTCCCAGGAAAAGCACAGGGCCTAGCACAGAACAGCTTAAATCATGTTTGCTGCGTGAACAAATAAAATGAGAAAAGAAGTTGAAAACTAAGCTAAGAGAATTGTTCTGCTACGTAACACAATTTGCTTTGTTAAACTTAATGGCTAATACTAGGGCTTAATTTCTACTTGGTCAGAAAGTCAACAAAGTATATGCTTTTTAAATTAGTGACAAATGCATTTTGTCCAATTTTGCGTTGGAGACTGTATTCCAGGGATAATTCCAAAGCATTTTTACTATCGCCTAATGCAATCCTGAATCATTGCTGCCCTCTAGTGGAAGAAATCATATGGTGCACATAAAGGTATTGTCCTTAGCTAAACGACTTCTTTAAAAAATAACTTTTCTACTCAAATATTTCTTTCAAATACTTTTATACATTTTCAAAAACTGTTCCAAAATTTGCATTAAAATTCCAGGTAACAAATTTGTTTGCATTCATCATCTAGTCTCTTTGGGAAATCAGTCATATCAAATACAATGTTTCACTTTTAAAAATCTGCACAAACTGTAATAAATTGCAAAATAAATAGACATGGGAAAATTGCAACTAAGAAAAGGTCACAAGTGGAGAATGCCATTTAGAAGTATAGCAAGTCTCCAGGGTACTTCTGTTGTGCTATTACTTAAATATTTGTGGTTAATCCCTCTGGTTTCTAACCTGTTTTCAAGCCACTTTCAGACCACTAAAGTTCTGCAGGGGAGTTCAAATTTCTGATTCACCTGGGACATCATCTCTGAGCCTATAGAATGTGCAAAAGTTTGGAAAGAGAAAGTTGGTGGAATATACCAAAATGAAAAAGACACAATCTCTCTATGTAAAGAAAAAGTACATGGACACAAACACCACTAACTAAAAAGTAAAGCAAACCACTGTCAGGACACTATTCTATTGAAGGCCCAAACTCAAAGACATGGGGGTAAAGGGAAGATTTGCTCTAGAAAGCCAGATGGTAAATGAACAGCCTCTTGAAGATGGATAAATCTTCAATAAAAATAAACAAAGGAAAAGTTACTTCAGAGTGAAAAAGTACAGACTAAATTTTGGGAAAGATGACTAGTCAGGTATGGCAACAGTGGCAAGTATATTCAGAAATAAAATCAGAAACAAAGGCTAGTTACAAATCATGGAGGCCTTGAATGCAACCCAGGAAATCTGGACTTTGATTTACCTGCTTTGAACAGTTATTGAAAATTTCGTGAGAGGTCACAGTAAGATCCACATTTATACAAAGTAACATTTGCTATAATTCAGAAGATAAATTGAAACAGAAAAATGCTATGGACTCTGAGAAACAAACTGAGGGTTTTAGAGGGGAGGGGGGTGGGGGGAGGGGTTAGCCTGGTGATGGGTATTAAGGAGGGCACGTACTGCACGGAGCACTGGGTGTTATACAAAAACAATGGATCGTGGATCACTACATCAAAAACTAGTGATGTAATGTATGGTGACTAACATAACATAATAAAATTAATTTAAAAAAAAAAAGAAACAGAGAAATGCTAAAGTCAAGATCAGTTTGAAGGCCACTGCTATGGTCCAGTCTGAATTCCAGCTGTAATAATGGCAATAAAAGAAAAACACCAATGTGTTTCAGAAGAAAAACAAAAGTCATTCAACAGTGGATTGATGCAGGGTATGGGATAGGAGAGTATAATTAAATAAGAGAGAATAAAAAAATCTTTACCTCTTGAGTCTAGGCAGCTAAAGAGATGTTGAAGCCAATGAAACAGAGATCACAGAGGAGACAATTTGACATTCTCATTCTTTTCTATTTGCCACATGTGGTTAAAAGACAACGATGTTCTAGTATCCACCACTTAGGTGTGTTATATTATCCTTTAAATAAGGGAAGAAAAGGGAGATAAAAAATATGTGAGTTCATAATCCAACTTATTTAAATTTTTAACAAGAATCTAAATCACGTAATGCCTCTGCCATTAGGGTTTTCATTGGTAAAATAAAATGATGAAACCATGATGAATTTCTAAGGCCCATTTTAAGATTTAAATTTTATGATTCTTTAGTCCTAATTACCTTAATTAGGTAATCGAGAATATGTATTTGAGTTGACGTCCAGTATGCATCTGATAATCCAGATAATCCTGAGCTTATAAAAGACAGGGAAACTGTCCACAAAGAGGTGAAAACGTGTCATGAAAGGTGGAAAGGCATGAGATAACAGAATTCTACAGAGGAAGAGAAGGGCTGAAGCCTGAGTGTCCCACCTTGTGGAATGGTACAACCACCTATCCAGTGCCCCAAGCCAGAAGAAACTTACATGTTAGCTTTGACTCCTTCTCACTACCCATCATTCCAACTGGTAATACTTCCAATCTATCTGCTTCTCTCCATCCCCACGGTCATTTGTCTAACTCAGGTCACCATTCTTTCTTACACAAATAACTTAGTCTCTTTTTTTTTAAAAAAATGTTACTTTTTAAAAGTAATGATACAAAATGTGTGGTACAAAAAAATACATGATACAAAATCTTAAGATTACCATGAGGTATACTATAAACATTTTCCTTTCACCCCTAACCCTCAGTGACACAGTTCCCTTAACAAAAGGAAACCAAGCTAACCAAAGTTTTGTGTGTCCTCCAAGATACATTTTAAACATATACAAGCAGCACATATATATTGGTTTTGCTTCCCCATTCTATTCACTCAGTACCTTGTTTTGCCACTACATAATACATTTTGGTGATGATCCCATATAAATATACAAAGAGCTCATTCTTTATAACAACTGCAATGTATAGATATACCATATGTTATGTATTCCAATATATATTATTGATATACTATATATATGTTACTCCCAACTTTTTGCTTACACAATGTTACAATGAATATACTTTCACTCACTTTCTCACAGTTGCAATTAGACCTGTGGGCTTACTATAAGTTTATAATATTTTTAATCCTCTATTTCTATGGATTAAATGATTCAATGTTTACATTACTTTATTTCTATTTCCCTTCCACTTCTCTCCTCACTCCAACACCTAATTTTCATGGATTATAAGATTTCTTTTAGTATTTATCTTTAAAGTTTTAAATATATTTATACTTCTATTACTTCATTTATCAGCTTTAAGTAACTTCTGCCTTCCAAATAAAAAAGGTGCTTATGTTACATTCCATTTCTCATCTTTTATTTGTTCTATCATTTCCACCTGTTCCAAGTTTATAAAATAGATTCCATTCTAACCATAACCCCCACTTTTATTTCCATTTCAATTCTACATTTAATCATACTGGCACCTCGCTCTACTCCTTCTGTCAGTTTCTCCACTCATCCAAGTTGTTCAAGCTTTCCTGTTAGAATCTTGACGAAATATCCGGGGCAACTGCGTGGCTCAGTCGGTTAAGCGTCTGCCTTTGGCTCAGGTCATGATCTCAGGGTCCTGGGATGGAGCCCCCTTGAGTCTGCTTCCCCCCTCTCCCGCTGCCCTTCTCCCTTGCTCATGTCCTCTCTCTCTCTCAAATAAATAAATAAAATCTTAAAAAAAAAAAAGAATCTTGAAGAAATCCATCTACTATGGATATTCATGTAAATTACCTTCTCTGGAGTTTTTAATGTTCAAAGATATCTGTTGTCTTTATAACGAGAATGATGATTTCACAGTGAATACATTCCTTGAATCCACATTTTCTTTTCTTGAGGAATTTTAGGCATTGTTCCACCGTTCTCTAGTATTGATTGTTGCTGTGCAGAAGTCTGAGGAATACTTTATCCCAGGAAAACTTGACACAGAACAGTCAGCACTGATATAATACTTTTTAAAAACATAAATGGTCCTTAAAGATTAAGACTCCTGTGCAATAAGGCAAAAAGATCAGATTTCATACATGGAAAAAAATGTGTTCCTGGGATGAAGTATGTAGGGGGGAAAAATCTTAAATTATACATTTAAAAACTGATCTGTTCCATTTAATCTGTACCCTCTGATGTATGTTGGATCTTCTTTACCTTTCCTATCAATTATTTTTTTTAATTTAATTTAATTTTATTATGTTATGTTAGTCACCATACATCATTAGTTTTTTTTAATTTTTTTAAAGATTTTATTTATTTATTTGAGAGAGAGAGAGAGCATGAGAGGGGGGAGGGTCAGAGGGAGAAGCAGACTCCCTGTTCAGCAGGGACCCTGATGTGGGACTCGATTCTGGGACTCCAGGATCATGACCTGAGCCAAAGGCAGTTGCTTAACCAACTGAGCCACCCAGGTGCCCACATCATTAGTTTTTGATGTAGTGATCCACATCAATTATTTTTGTTCCCAATTCTTTTACTTTTTTTATGGATTGTTTCATTTTTCTTGCTTCTCTTAATTCTACCTAACCTCCTTGTCTCCAAAGTGTTTTCAGTTATGTCTAGTCTCCTTTGGGCTAGTTTCAATGAGACTTTCATTTCTATAATACTGTCTTATTTCTTCCCTGAGTTCATTACTCGATTCCTTCTGTGGTCTTAGTATATCTTCCTTGAGTCTTTGGAGTTCTCTGTTTTGAGTTTTAATTTATAGAGAGAATGCAAGATTGAAATTTGCTATTATTTTGTTTTATCCTTTAATTCATGACAACATGCTTGGTCAAACTTTATATCTGATCCATTATGACCATTTTCCTAATGAAAGTTTTCTTTCTCCACTTATTTTGCCTGTTTATTATTTCTAACCTCCTTTTTTGGAGGGTGGGGGATATATTTATAAGATCCCATGCTGATTCCTTTTTGAATTACTGCTCATATTTTAATGTGTTGAGTTCTTCCTGTGGTCACTATTGGTAAGAGGTTTATAAGAGAAAGGAGCCAAGACCATGTGCTAGATTAGCAGAAATTCTTCCTAGTTCATAATGATGTTCCTTATGGTACAGGGTTATGTGTGTAAATTTTCTTTGCTTTTAGTTCTTCTTAGTCAACAAAGATCAGTAGCTCTAGGGTGCCCCCAAATGCAGTATCTCTCTTACCAATAAAATCTCTCTTACCAATAAAATCTCTCTCCTCCACCCTATCTCACTTATAAAATAAAATAGAAAACCCAGATATGGCTTATCAGTGTGATTCTCCATTCACTCTTACTGGCTTCCTTCTCATTTTTCTGAACTAGGTCTAGGGATACTCCCACTGGCACACTCCCATTTTTCCAAATAAGGAAATGTTTGGGGATTTTTTCCCCCCTCAAAGTATAGCATCTCCTCTGGAGAACTTTTCCCTGCCAGTTTTGGCTGAAATATGCAGATGTAAGCAACATCTTTCTCTATCTGTTCATACTCCTTTTAACCATAACTGCTCTCAGGAATCCTTTCTCATATATTGTGTTTCAGGAATATAGATCTCACCTAATTTTTTTTTCAAAGATTGAATTTGCAATTCTATTTCTTGCTCTTCTTATCTTGCATTGATTTTTGAGAGAAGCGTAGTGCCATCTTTCCTTGGCCATTTTATAAATGGAAGTCTCTATAATAGCATTTTATTAGTCTCCCCACCTCTAGTCTACTCCTTCAGTCTATTTTTCTTTACAACAAAAATCTAAAATGCAAATATGATGTCAGTACCTTGCAAGAAACCCTTTCATGACTCTGCATACTATTTTATCATTTAAATTTCAGTGTAGTTAGCTTACAGTGTTATGTTAGTTTCAGGTGTACAATATAGTGATTCAACTATTCTATATATTACTCCATGCTCATCAAGATGAATGTAGTCTTAATCCCCTTCACCTGTTTCATGCATTTCCCCTCTTCCACCTCCCCTCCACTAACTATCTCTTTGTTTTTTGGTTTGTCTCTTTTTTCCCCTTTGTTTGCTGTTTTGTTTCTTAAATTCCACATATGAGTGAAATCGTACGGTATTTGTCTTTCCCTGACTGCCTTATTTTGCTTAGCATTATACTCTCTAGATCCATCCATGTTGCTGCAAATGGCAAGATTTCATTCTTTTTGATGGCTGAATAATATTCCATTGTATGTATACACAACATCTTCTTTATCCATTCATCTATTGATGGACATGGGCTCCTTCCATAATTTAGCTGTTGTAAATATTGCTGCACTAAACATAAGGGTGCACATATCTTTTCAAATCAGTGTTTTCATATTCTTTGGGTAAATACCTAGTAGTGTGATTCCTAGATCATAGGGTAGTTCTAGTTTTAGTTTTTTGAGAAACCTCCATACTGTTTTCCACAGTGGCTGCACCAGTTTGCATTCCCACCAGCAGCACATGAGGGTTCCTTTTTCTCCACATGCTTGCCAGTACTTGTTGTTTCTTGTGTTGTTCATTTTAGCCGTTCTGACAGGTGTGAGGTGATATTTCATTGTGGCTTTGACTTGCATGTCCCTGATGATTAGTGATGTTGAGCTTTTTTTTTTTTTTTTTTGGTTCTTGTACTGCTTTATTTTTTTTTTAATTTTATTATGTTATGTTAGTCACCATACATGTATTGTATGGTGATGTTGAGCATTTTTCCATGCATCTATTGGCCATCCATATTTCTTTGGAGAAATGTCTGTTTGTGTCTTCTGCCCAATTTAAATTGGATTAATTGTGGGTTTTTGGTGTTGAGTTGTATAAGTTCTTTATATATTTTGGATACATTAATCGGATATGTCATTTGCAAATATCTTCCCCCATTCTATTGTTTGTCTTTTAGTTTTGTTGGTTGTTCCCTGCTGTGCAGAAGCTTTTTATCTTGATGAAGTCCTAGTAGTTTATTTTTGCTTTTGTTTCCCTTGCCTCAGCAACATACCTAGAAAGATGCTGCTATGGCCAATGTCAGAGAAATTACTGCCTGTCTTCTTCTCTTCTAGGCTTTTTATGGTTTCGTGTCTCACATTTAGTTCTTTAATCCACTTCATTTTTGTGTATGGTGTAAGAAAGTGGTCTAGTTTCATTCTTTTGCATGTAGCTGTCCAGTTTTCCCAACACCATTTGTTGAAGAGACTTTTTCCCATTGCATATTCTTGCCTCCTTTATTAAAGATTGATCTTATAATTGTGGGTTTATTTCTGGGCTTTCAATTCTGTTCCATTGATCTATGTGTTTATTTTTGTGTCAGTACCATACTGTTTTGATTACTACAGCTCTGTAATATAACTTGAAATCTGGAATTGTAATACCTCCAGTTTTGCTTTTCTTTTTCAAGGTTGCTTTTGCTATTCAGGGATTGTTTATTCTAGTTCTGTGAAAAATGCTCTTCATATTTTGATAGGATGGCATTAAGTATGTAAGTTATTTTGGGTAGTATAGACATTTTAACAATATTTGTTCTTCCAATCCATGAGCATAGAATGTCTTTCCATTTCTTTGTGGCTTCTTTAATTTCTTTCATCATTGTTTTATAGTTTTCAGAGTACAGGTCTTTCACCTCTTTCATTAAGTTTATTCCTAGGGATTTTATTTTTGGTGCAATTGTAAATGGGATTGTTTTCTTAATTTCTCTTTCTTCTGCTTCATTATTAGTGTATAGAAATGCAATGGATTTCTGTACATTGATTTTGTATCCTGTGACTTTACTGAATTCATTTATCAGATCTAGTAGTTATTTGGTGGAGTCTTTAGAGTTTTCTATATATAGTATCATGTCATCTGCAAACAGTGAGTTTTGACTTCTTCCTTGCCGATTTGGATGCCTTTTATTTCTTTTTGTTGTCTGACTGCTGTAGCTGGGACTTCCAGTATACGTTAGATAAAAGTAGTGATAATGGACATCCTTATATTGTTCCTGACCCTAAAGGAGAAGCTCTCAGTTTTTACCCATTGAGTATGATGTTAGCTGTGGGTTTTTCAGATATGGCCTTTATTATATTGAGGTATGTTCCCTCTAAGCCTACTTTGTTGAGGGTTTTTATCATGAATGAATGTTATACATTGTCAAATGCTTTTTCTGCATCTATTGAAATGACTATATGGTTTTTATCCTTTCTCTTATATATACATCAACATGATGTTTCATGTTGATTGATTTGTGAATATTGAACTACCCTTGCATACCAGGAATAAATCCTACTTGATCATGGTGAACGATTTTTTTAATGTATTGTTGGATTCTGTTTGCCAATGCATATGTGTTTTAGAGAGGGAGCGGGGTGGAGGCAGAGGGAGAGGGAGAGAGAGAGTCTTAAGCAGGCTCCACGTTGAGTGTGGAGCATGATGCAGGGCTCGATCTCAGAACCCTGAGATCATGACCTGAGCCAAAATCAAGAGCCAGACACTTAACTGACTGAGCCACCCAGGTGCCCCTGTTTGCCAATATTTTGTTGAGGATTTTTGTATCCATGTTCATCAGAGATATTGGTTCTCTCTCTCTCTCTCTCTTTTTGTGCTGTCTCTATCTGGTTGGGTTTCAGTGTAATGCTGGCCTCACAGAATGAATTTGGAAGTTTTCTTTACTCTTCTATTTTGTGGAAAAGTTTAAGAAGAATGAGTGTTAACTTTTCTTTAAATGTTTAGTAAAACTGTTGTTCAACATAGTACTGGAAGTCCTAGCCTCAGCAATCAAATAAAAAGAAATAAAAGGCATCCAAATTGGCAAGGAAGAAATCAAACTTTCACTCTTCACAGATAACATGATACTCTACGTAGAAAACCCAAAAGACTCCACAAAAAAATCGCTAGAACTAATACAGGAATTCAGCAAAATTGCAGGATATAAAATCAACATACAGAAATCTGTTGCATTTCTATACACCAATAATGAAGCAGCAGAAAGAGAAATCAAGGAATCAATCCCATTTACAATGGCACCAAAAACCGTAAGATATCTAGGAAAAAACCTAACCAAACAGGTAAAAGATCTGAAAACTGTAGAACACTTATGAAAGAAATTGAAGACACAAAGAAATGGAAAAACATTCCATGCCCATGGATGG